CGCTACGCGTACAATACGTCGTCATTGTCGCTACGCGTACAATACGTCGTCATTGTCGCTACGCGTACAATACGTCGTCATTGTCGCTACGCGTACAATACGTCGTCATTGTCGCTGTGCGTACAATACGTCGTCATTGTCGCTATGCGTACAATACGTCGTCATTGTCGCTGTGCGTACAATACGTCTTCATTGTCGCTATGCGTACAATACGTCGTCATTGTCGCTATGCATACAATACGTCGTCATTGTCGCTACGCGTACAATACATCGTCATTGTCGCTATGCATACAATACATCGTCATTGTCGCTATACGGGGCCGTAGCTAGCAGAGGAGAGGGGGGGGGGCAAGAGGGGCAGCTGCCACCCTCAGAGAAATGTAGATACAATACATGGTCAGGGGTGGTCACCTTCCCAGAATACACCATGCACGTGGCTTTGCCCCCCCCTTTTCCCCCAGGAAAAATGGGTTAGCTACGCCCCTGCTATGGGTATGATTAGTGCCACTAGTAGCAATACTAACGACATTTAAATAGTTCTGCGAGTTGTCTGCGTAAGACGAAACGCAGAGCAGGAGAAGCTACGAGAATCGTCGGTGCAGAGGCGCGGGGAAAAAACTCGTGTAGTGCTCGCCGCGTGGCCGGCCGCCGCTCCGGGCACCTCATGGCTTTCTTCTTTTCATTTTTTTACGAGCAGCTAAACGAATGCTATCGGTCCCGCATCTCGTCGCGGGCGATGGGGAGGTAAGACCTGCATACAGGTGCTTCTCTTACAGTGGTTGGGCCACTGTGCGGGTTTGCTTATAGCGCGCTCATATAGCGAAGGCGTGTCAACGTTGCGTCTCTTGAACCACAGAGCTATGCGGTTTGTGATTGTTATAGTAGGCTTCCGAGCTATTGCTGTATATGTTTCGGGTCTATTTTCCTGCTTTTTGGCTTTTTGGCCCACCATCGCGTGCAGCCACTACGCGATATATACATCCACGCTACCACGCGGCCGGATTTCCCGTAGTGTAGTGTAGCAGCGGGAAATGTCAGCGGTTTTAAAGCGAATGAGGGGCGCGGTGCATTTTGTAAGCAATTAAGCATAATATTACGTGACGCCTCTATATATGTCCCGCTTTGCTTGCGGCTGAGATGCACTTGTCGCGGTTTGTTTTTTGTTTAGGCATTTCGAGCGTCCCATAGCGTATATATCGGCAAGATGCTGCCCGTTGTTAATAGAGGGGGTTGTTATCGGTGGAGCTTTATATACGGCTCCCACTGTTTGCGTGTACATACATACATACCTGTATAGCAGACGTCACGATCTAAATCGCCGATCGTCTGCGTGCGCGGGAATATTTATAATTTACACGTGTGCGTGTATACCTTTCTGCAAAACTCGTCTTCGTTCGCTACGTGCTTCCAGTGAATACTGCGTATACCTCTGGTGTTTAGCGGTGGATATACTGATAATTTATTTCTGAATATCTATCTATACGTAGAAGTAGAGAGAACGATTCTCTTATATGCTCCTGATAGCCCCGTGTGGAGGCTGTTATTGTACAAGTAGTGTAAAATGATATAGCTTGTAGGTGCGATAACGTTGTAGTAAACACGCAAGCATTTATGCGCATTCGATGATGCGTTTCTGTTGCAGCTCGGGCGTTTTTCAGCACTGACTATATGTACGTTTAATGTACAAAATATTATATGAACTAATAAAATTCAATTACGGTATTTGGTGGTTCCGGTATAGTGCTGCATTGTTCTCTGCTTTGTGACTGACTCTAAAAGAATGTTAAATAAAACCGCGATTTTTGTAATTAACAATGTAATAATATTATTGTCAATGAAATCATGCAGGTCAAGCCAAGAATGTTTCGAATATCTGCATTTAATTAATACTGTATAATTCTATTGTGACGTTGTTTAATATATTAACTTTGGTAATAAAGGAATGCTTGCATTTACAAAGAACTTTCGAACGATGTATTGGTTCATGGCATGTTTTAAATCTATTCTGTTCATTACTTCACTCACAAAGTGCGATTTGGCGGTTAACGAATTTTATAACGGGGGCTGAGCGAAACATAGCAACGATATGTCATGTATACTTGCAACATAGTATTGCACTGATCTGTGTTTATTAAACAAGTATACTGGTCATGTTCATATGTTGTAAGTACTCTCTCTCTCTCTCTCTCTCTCTCTCTCTCTCTCTCTCTCTCTCTCTCTCTCTCTCTCTCTCTCTCTCTGGCCACCGCTCCCCCGGCCGCTCCGGGTACCGGTCGCCGTCAGAGGGCGCCGCCGGCCGCTCGGGGTATCGCTCGTCGCCGAATCGCTCCACAGGGGTGCGCTCCCCGTCGCTCCTCGTCGGGAATCGTCCGGGGACTCGCATCCCCGTGCGCGGGTTCCCGGCGCAGCGCCGCTCCAAGTCGCCCGTGGCGCCCCCTGGCAGCGGCAATCACCACCACCACCACCAGAGGTCGCACCCGAGCGCGGGTAACGTCGCGGTGCTAACGTTCCGCGAGAAACCGATCGCAAACTGGTCGTCGGACGACGTCGCCGATTGGCTGGACAACCTGAAGCTGAAGGCGCTCAAGCAGCGCTTTGTCGCGGGACAAGTGAACGGTCAGAAGCTGGTCAGCTGGTCGCGGCAAGGATTCGCGGGCATGGGCATCAAGTTTGCTGACATGGCGTTGATGCAGCAGTCACTGCAGAAGATGAGGGGCCAGCGATCGCGCACGTACCAGATCTGATTTCGCAGTCGCTATGCATACAATACGTCGTCATTGTCGCTATGCGTACAATACGTCGTCATTGTCGCTACGCGTACAATACGTCGTCATTGTCGCTACGCGTACAATACGTCGTCATTGTCGCTACGCGTACAATACGTCGTCATTGTCGCTACGCATACAACG